TTTGGAATCCCTTGGGATATTGGTCTTGAATATAACCGAACGGTCATGGACACCGGCAAAATAACGAATATTCTGGTTGACGGGATATTCACCTTTGACGATCAAGTTAGTGATTGGAAAACGAAATAAATATCGAGAGAGAAAGAAGAGAGAAGTTGGATCTTTTAGTGCTCTTGAATGATATGTCTTAATCCACCCCTCCCATCATAAATGATTAGGGTATTTATAGGGGTGGGAAAGTGTGTCCCTCTAGGGTTAGTGACCTAGAATGGCGTGCTCTGATTGGTGGCACAATTAGGTAAAGGCACGTGTACAAAGGGGTGCTGCTTTGCGGCTTTCTTGAGATTTGGGCCTCTTGATGTAAGGAGGCCCTTTTTATCTCATTCAAGTGCTCTTATTTTTTGACACGCGTCAGCTCCCTATTGGGATACATGTCGCCCTTTAATTGGGCCACGTGTTACTATGAGATTGGACCACATGTTGGGGTATTTTTTACCCTAAACAACAACTATAGGCCTTGTTTATTTACACTTTAATAAAGAGGGAAATACAAATTCATGGAATATGTATTTATGGAGTTAAGTATAAAGATGGGGACTATTTTTTTACCTTTTTCTACTTTACTTTTTTTTTTCTTCACCTTTCGGGACCTCAAATGACTTTTTCGACCAAATATTAATTGTGGGTGAGTTTAAAAGATACACCCTTGATTAAAAAAGATAGTCCCCTAAAAAATTAGCCTAAATATATAATTCCCTATTTGGAAAAAAGATAGTCCCTTAAAATCCATTCAAGCATTATTCAATCAATAAATAATACTAAAACAAACACCAGAAATGACACATGTCACCTCGTGGTGCTGTTTTTTCCATCCAAATCTATATATATTATTTTTATTTATTTTCTTTTTTTTACAACAGTCCAAAAATGAGACTAGCTCCCAATTTACTCAAGATTACAACAAGAATATTTGACTCTCTTAACCAAACTAAAACAAGAAATAAAAAGGTGTTTGGGGTTACAGACGTTGTGAACTTCTTGACAATGCAAATAAGGGGGTTGAGAAGATCCATTGTCGAAACTAGCCATAAGTTGTTCCAAACTTGTTCACTTGCTTTTCTTTCCTGCAAAACAAAAACTGGAAAACCTTTTACCTTTCTTGTTCTTCACCCTTGACCTAATTGGCCTTCCATGTTTTCTAGGCGTAGCAAAGAACGTGAAGATAGAGAGTGGTGGAGAGGACTGCACATAGTCGGGATCAACACTCATAAGGGCTTCGTCATTGGAATCTATGGATTCCACTTTAACGGTATCAGTGGTAGCTAAATCTCTCACAGGGATCTCGCTCCCCTCCTCAATGATTGAATTCTCATTGCTGCTAGAAGTTAGGCTAGAAGGAATATAATCATCTAACTTCTTTTAGCCCTTTCTGTCGCGCCTCCTCTTTTTTGGACCCACCATCCTAGTGGACGTGAACAAGGTTTCAAGAAGTTTAAAGTCCTTTGCCTTCTGAGATTCAGGAAGCCCATCTTTAGTGGTTTTTTCCTTCACTCGTACAATCATCCATGAAATAGCAGAATGTTTGAAGAAACTCAAGGTTTTTCCTTGATTGAGATCCGAATAAGACAAAATGGAAATTTTAAGGGACTGATTACTTCTCACTTTGTTGAGGAACATATGAAATTTCCTCGATCCCTTGTCCTTAGCATGTCTATAATTCTAGTTGTTAGAAGAGCCAGTAGCATCATCTTCCCCCCTTTTCGAAGGGGTAAGAACATTGAATGTAGTGATAAGGCTCTCTACCATCATCTCATTAGCATTGTCCATGGTGGGTAAGGCCGTAACATCACTCTGAACATCGCTACTAGGCAACCTGATAGAGTCTAGACTGGCAGAGGGGTTGCTGATCTTCCCCTTTTTGTTGAAGATAGTGTTGGACAAGTCAGATTCCTCAGTGCCTTCTTGCCCTTAATCGTGCTAGCTTTGCTTCTCAACCCCTCCACCTTATCCATCTCACGAAGGATGTCCTGATTTTTAGGCTCAACCTTAGCTACTTTGCCAAGGTCTTCATGGGCCTCTATAAGTTGATAAAGCTTGATTTCTGCCAAAGCCCTTCTGTAAAAGGCTTTAGTAGGTCCTTTTTTTTGGAAAAAGGTAAAAAATAATAATTAATGAACTAAAAGACCGGATACACATTACAAGGCTACTCACAAGGTAGCTACCGTATACAAAAACTACTTACATAAAAAACCAAGCAGAAAAACACATCATCTGAACAACAAACACACAAACTAAACTCCTAAGCAGTCAAGCACTTCAGTCAATCCCTGTTCTTTCTACTCATTTTCCTTGGCATGACATGATTGATTCACTGATAAACCTCCCACACCAGCTTCTAAACAACCAAAGTTGGGCTCTGTAAGCACATATCCCAGATAGCTTTATTTCTTTGCTGCCATACTGCATAAAGGATCCCTGCATAATAGCTCTGCACCACCTGTCTTCTAATCCTTCCAGCAATGCTTTGTAGCTTCAAGTTGCAATCTTCTAAGGAGCTAGGACTGCAATTGATGCTTTTAATTTTATCCACTAAGTCACAACATTCTTTGCTGTAATTACACTCAAGGAATAAGTGCTCAACAGTCTCATCCTTTTCACCATACAAAGGGCAAGAAGTCTCACTTATGATTCCCATCTGAACCAACTTCATTCTCACTCTAATTCTCTTCCAAACAATCAGCCAAGCAGTAAAATAGTGTATAGCTAGGGATGTTCAATCTGTTCCAAACCCAATTACACCAAGGTACCTTTGGAAGTTCCTGCTGCAGCCATTTATATCCACTAGCTACTGTATATCCCTTTGCATTTGCATTCCATCTACTTCCAGTAAAACCAGGCTTAAATAGCTCCTTTATCTTCCACAACTGTTTCCAGGTCCAGCTAGCATTAGTAGGACAGGAAACCCTCTTCCAATTCTTTCCTTTTATGTACAGATGGTCAATCCACCTAAGCCATAGACTGTCTTGCTTGCTAGCAATGTTCCAGACGTGCTTACCTAGTGTAGCAAAGTTCCACAAATGACAATTATGAACCCCTAAGCCTCCATTCTTCTTACTCCTGCAGATAGTATCCTAAGCTATTAAGGGAACCCTATTAAAGATAGCCTTACCATCCCATAAAAAATTCCTGCAAATAGCCACAATTCCAGAATTCACACTCTTAGGCAAGATAAAAATGGTTGCCCAGTAAGAATGCAAAGTGAGCAGAATTGAATTCACCAACATTTTTCTTCCTGCATAAGAAAGAGCTCTGGTTCCCCAAGATCTTATTCTAGCAGTAATCTTGTCAAAAAAGACATTGACAGTGAGTCTTACTAAGCTTTTTAGAGCTGACATTCACCCCCAAATATGTGAAGGGTAGAAAATCCTCTTTAAAACCAAGCTGCCGATAATCTCATCTTTCTCTCTAGGGTTCATATTACAACAATAAATATTCGACTTCCCATTATTAGCAACAAGCCCTGAGGCTACTGCAAAAGTAGCAAGACTTCTCATGATAAGATCAACAGAGTCTTTCTCCCCTTTACTAAACAAAATCAAATCATCTACAAAAACTAGATGATTCAACTTAAGCTTTCAGCACTTAGAATGGCACTTGAATCTGCTATCTTCACCTACACACTTCAAGATTTTTTACATTCTATACTTGTCACAGTCGTGAACTGTATAAACATTTTATACTTGTCACAGCCGTGAACATTCTATACAGTTCATAATCAATGTATTTTTTTTCCAAGTAATTAATTATATTACTTTATTTTTTCTATAAAATATTATAATCAACATTTTTTTAATTTATCAAATTTTTAGTTTCATTTATGTAATTTTTATTCTTATTTTATAATTTCTCGAAAAATATTTATTTTATGTCGGATTAAAATTTTCGAAAAATTATATTTGCTTTGTAGATATTAGAATACTAATTGTGTCCAATTCATTGTGTGAAAAAATGAATCGCTCATATTGTTTATCATTAAAACATTATGGTAGTCATATTTCAAACGACCATTATAAAATTTTCATTAGAGATTAAATTTAATAATTTCTTGTTATCTCATTCTATGTAATCTACTTTTGTAAAGAAAAAAGTTATACCAAACATGATACCTTGTTGCAAAATTTTACTCGCCACCACACAACAAACAATACTTCATATATCTCAACTATATTAAAATATATATATATGAATGAGGAAGTTCGAATATTTAACCTGTTAGAAGAAACATTAGTAAAACTACATACAGAGTATGCTCGAACTACTCGGTACTCACTAGTTTGGTAATTAAAAGACAATTATTAACTATTAGTTCTATTACTAAATTAGGTTATGCTTAATTTTCATTGTCCATGTACCAATTTTAGTCATAAGCCTAATGCACATACTCTTCTGGAGTATAAGATTTGTTTCTTTAATTAGTAATTTATTCTGTAAATAAAAAATAAATAAAAAAAATTAAAAAAAAAAAAAAATGACACGTGTCCTTGCTAGCGTGTGTTTTAGCACTCTGTATACCGTTATTGATTTCTCATCTATTCTAAAGCCGACGTCATTAATTTATGCTTTTTTTTTTTTTTTTTTTTTTTTTTTTTTTTTTTGCAACGATGCTTTTTTATTTAATGAAATTAGTTAAATTTTGGTTGGGCAAAATAAACTGATTTTTAATTGCTTCAACTACCTAACAAAACTTACTGCTCCATTTATCTCATCCCTTCCCTCCCCTACCTTCTTTTCTTTTTCTTCTCCATTCCCTTGTCAAATAATAATTTGCCAAAAATTTTATAATTTAAACATTTGCCAACTTTTTGAATAATCTCTAGTAATGTCACTAAAGTAGATCTTTAGTGATTAGATTTATTTCGCAAATTATTTTTAGAGACCATTTCATGTAGGTGTGCAGATTTTACATAATTTTACAATGTGTAGTATATATTTCACATCAATGAGTGCAATTATGCCTATCATTTATGACAACATTAAATTTCTTGTTGCACAACATTTTGATGTTATGAAAGAGTTTAAAAGAAACACAAGAGTATGTTCATTAGGCTTACGACTAAAAGTACTTTCAACATTGGAATCTAACTAAATTAGATGGACTCTAATTTAAGGGCTTTAAACATCAATAAAATACAAATAAAATGCCTAAATGATCCAAAATGTGTTTCATTTTTCTCGTTAGTCATAGAAGATCCACCCCAAAACCACTTAGACACGACGCTTCTTTGGAAGTCGGCATCCATTGTGTGGACGCCGAGTGGTATCTTCAATATATGCAATAGGAGTATGATCTCCTTTACCAAAGGTGTAGCCTTCTCTCCAGCTAAGAATTGCTTGCTTCTTTTTCTTGAAGTGAGTGAACCCATTTACTCTCATGACAATTGATTTCAAGCCAAGATTTCTTGCAAGTCTTCCCACATGTTCTGCTGTTGCTTCCGCAGCATATCGGGAAAGCTTTGGACCACCTTTCATTTCTTCCAGGCATCCTGAAGATGCTCCAACCTTTTTGTTCCCCTTGGAGTCGGTAATGGAGACAAAAGTATTGTTCTTGATCAACTTAATGTGTACAATATCCAACTTTTCTGCAGCGTTGTCTTGGCGTAGTCCTGGAGATTCTCTCATATCTTCCTGTAAGACGTTCTTGACAAAGTTCATGTGACTTGACGTCCCAAAATTCCCAGCTTCTTTGGTGGCAGTTGTATGTATCCTTGCTCCCACTAGGCCGCTTTTCCAGCTACTTATGGAGTCTAGTAGAAACATGTTTAGATTATGTTATGGGGGAAGAGAAAGGAATAGTTAAAAGTCAAGTTTATTATTCATATATTTGGAAGGAACACCATTTACAGCACAAAAATTCCTGCACAACCCAATACAAATTACAAGCAATGCCTAAGAAAAATGCCAAGATAGCCACTGAAATTCACTCAAGATCACATGCACGTTGCATTCAATGAGTGAGGATTTCTTTGAATAAAATAAGGAAATAATAGCAAGACTGAAGCTCAACCATAAACACCAATGAACCAGCTACTGCAAACATATGACACTAATAAGTAAAGCAAGCTTCAGTGAACCAGGAATGTGGTCTATTACAGCTTTCTTTAAATGGGGTTTCCACACATACAAACAAAAGGGCTAGCTCATTGACTCGCAGGTCAAAAATTCATCAGATATGTTCCCGGATAGGCTTCTAAGTCAGAATTATTTATCCTTGTGCTCTTAAGCATCTCCTCAATGTCTCTTACAGTCTTACCCTCTTTACAGTTCAAACTTCTTCCATAACATTCTCCACACCCAGTTTAGAATGACTATTACTCTAATGTGATCGGCATGTAACTTTTAAAAATCTAGACTAGATAACAAGCATCAAATATAATATTGGAGGGCGAAGGGCACAAGCCAAGTTTATCAGTTATAGCAACTCTGCTAATAAGTGAATTGAGTTTGACAAAATCCCCACACATTGTGTGAGTCTAGCACGAATGCAATATTGCAAGGTCAAAAGCTCCTCACAACAAACTTAACTTTAAGTCTTCGTCTATGTTCGCATTTGAAACTAGTAACAGAGTATAATCCGAACAATAAACAAAAAAAAGTCCTTGAAACAGGGGAATATCTTTTTAAAAAATATGATCTAGTCAAACCCTAACCTCTTTAATTGACATCCATGCAAAGATCAAGAGTAACACTCAACATATATTGAGCTAAGAATTTTGAAAGACTCAACAAACAAAGCAACAAATGAATCCTGCCAATGTTCAGCTCACAACCACCTCAGGATAAGGCAGATTTGGTTTAATATGTCCATCTCATATCTTCAGGCTAACCAATTGAAAGCTGAAAGGTTATTTACATAACAAATGTTCTATGCAAATCTAGTCACCAGTTAATGGACCAGAGATTTGAAAACGCAGATGACATAACATTGAAAGGGTCATAATTCTGAGTGTAGTATAAAGTCTTGTTCTCTAATGTCAATCAGATGATCCCACAAGCTTGAATGTAAAATTTGCATTAAATATTTTGGCATCTACGAAATTGCCATTGATAAGCTAATACCCTGTTTTCTCGTATAAGATAAACTCCCTCTATGTTAAAACTACCATAATATAATTAATATTAACCAAGCATCTTTAGTTGCAAGTTTGCAGCTTACAAACTGCTGAAATAAATGTTGCAAAATTAAAAGGTACGAGTACATCCCAGCGATTATTCAGGAAGAACAAATTCCCTAAGAAAAATTGTTCCACATTGAAGACCTATAATTGCCATCCACCCATGAAGCTTATTATACCATTGATTTCGATCCCAATCATATGAGCAATCAACAGCAGAGTATGTCCACACAAAATAACATCGCTCCTAAATAATTCAAGTTAATCATCACCATCTCCAACTCTCCATTTTCCCTAAAATATATCCAATTCAAAAAACTCGATGCGGTAAGTTCAATACATCCAATCACCGGCATCTAAACTCCCAGCTCCAGGGCAGGCTTCTATTGATTTTAGAATTACACAAATCCAGATAATTTCACCTCTCCTGAAACCTAGCCTAAAATAATTCGGAATTCAACCACAACAAACAAGTAACATATATCCGCATATTCATCGAATCGCCGAATAATCAAGCAATAAGGGTTCAAACATATAAAAATTCAAAGCATAGCCCCAAAAAATTCATCTTAAAACAACCCCAGCAACAAAATCATCATCAGCAGAACCAAATCAACCACAATCAAACAAAACCCTAATTTCAAAAGCAAAACAACAAAAACTGAACCAAATCAAAAAATTCTTTAACATGTTGAAATCAGAAGAGAATCCTAACCTCGAAGGTGAGTGTAAAAATGGGGTAAGAACAAGGGGGTAGATCTGGACTCCTGGTCGTCGCGAGACAGAGGGGATTTGGAGACGACAGAAGAGGAGGCGGCGGGTCGCCATGAAGAAGAGGAGAGAGAAGAGAGGCGCCTTGCCGCCACCCTCAACATCTTCGACAGGTTTCGGATTTCCGCCTAGGACGGTGTACGAAGGAGGAGAGAGAAAAATGAAGGGTTGGGTAGTGGACGAGGTGCGTACGAAGGAAGAGAGAAGAAAATGAAGGGTTGGGTGTAGGGCTGTTAATAGGGGTGAAAGTGAATCGGTGTAAAACCGAACCGAATCGAAAAATCGAACCGAATAAGGAATGTGGTTCGGTTTTTTGGGAGGGTGGTTCGGTTTCGGTGTCAAAAATAAAAAAATTTTGGTTTTCAGTTCGGTTTTAGTTCGGGAAATTGAAAAACCGAACAAAACCGAACCAAACTGAATTATAAGCCCAATCCTACAAAACCCCTGCCTGGCCCAAAACTAAATACCCTAGGTATATAATGAAAAAATAAAAAAAACCCTAATTCCTCTAATCCTCTCAGCCTTTCTCCACTCTTTCGTCCTCTCTCCTGTCTGACTGTCTCCTCTGAGTCTCCGACCACCGTCCAGTACACCAGGGCACCAGGCGACCACCGTCAACGGTCCACCTGCTTCCCTCTCTCCTGTCTTCTCCTACTAATTAAGGTATGAAATATGCAATTTGCGAATTCAATTTGCGATTTTAATCGTTGCTCTACTTACTTGCTCTCTCCTGTCTTCTCCTACTAAAGTACTAAATACTAATCGTTGCTACTGCATGTTCAATTGTGAATTGCGATTTTAATTTGCGATTTTAACTTGCGATTTTACTTGCTACATTTTAATTTGTGAAGAATATGGCAATTGGTGATGCTAAAATTGATGAAGTGGTCGAAATACTTGAGTGATTGCTCTGTGCTGCTACTGCTGTGTTGATCTGCTGCCACTGCTGTGTTGATGCTGCTACTGGCCTACTGTGTTGCTGTTCTGCTGGCTGCTGCTACTGTTCTGCTGTTCTGTTGCTACTGTTCTGCTGTTCTGTTGCTACTGCTTTGCTGCCTGCTGGATCGATCTATTCTGCTGGCTGCTGCTATTGTTCTGCTGTTCTGCTGGCTGTAATGTTGTTGAATGTTGATCATGTTATGTTTAACTTAAGTAGTTCTGTTAAAACTTGTTTAATTTGAGTTTGTATGGATTGATTGGTTTGATTTGATACTTTGTTAGTTTGTTATTTAAACTGAAAACTTAAGTTTGTATGATTTGGATTGGTTTGTAGACTTTGTACTTTGTATGAATTGGACTAAATTTGTTTGCTGTTATATTTGTTAATTTGCACTGCTTGCTGTGTTAGTGAGAATAGTGACTTAGTGTGTTGATTAATGAGGCCCAATTTGCAGATTATTGGCCCAAATAAAAGAGGCCCAAAAAAATCGGTTTGGTTCGGTTTTTTATTCTGAAACCGAAATAAATATGGTTCGGTTTGGTTCGGTTTCTAAAGTAAAGTGGTGCGGTGTGGTTTCTAAAATCAAGAAACCGAATTAAGGTGGTTCGGTTTCGGTTTGAGCCAAAAACCAAACCGAACACCGAACTTTCACCCCTAGCTGTTAATGAGCTGTCAAACCAAGTCGATCAATAAACTAATCGGGTTTGAGTTCAGTTGAAGGCTTGAAGCTCGTTCATGTTCGTTTATTTAATAAATGAGCCGAGCTTGAACAAATTTAGAAGCTCGTCTGAACACGAACATATATATGCTTGTTTAGCTAAATTCATGAACATCTCGTTTATTTATGTTCACATACGACTCGTTTAGTTATGTTCACGATTGACCATGAAAGTGATTAATTTTAGAGTCAAGGAAGCAAATCACTAGGAAAAAGAAATAAGATGCGATATCGATCTCAAAGACGTAAAATGCTTTTATGTGGAACTAGCCTTCTGGCCCGTGCAATGCACGAGTGGTTTATAAAAAATAACATTGAGAGATGAGTGAGGAAATACCCATAAATTATTATATGTGCAATGTGCAACCGAAAACAAGAGTTAAAAAAATTAAAATTTTGGAACTTATGCTCAAAATTAGGTTTGAAAAAAAGAAGGTAGATCAGAAAGACTAAAATTAAAGGGAGAAAAGGAAGAGGTTGAATTAAAGAAGAGAGATGAAGATGAAGTGTGATTAGGGGATTTTTAACCTCGCCACGTGGACCAATTGAACTCTGCCACGTGTCATCCACGTGGATCAACTAGAGTCCGCCACGTGTCACCTCGTGAGAGGTCCAAGGTGGACCAATTAGGTCACGACACGTGGCAGATAGATTGCCAATTAGGAAAGTGGCCTTTAACGGCCCAAATTCCGAATCAAGCCCAGTCAGTCCTAGGTTTCTGAAACCTAGTACTGGGCATGCATTACGAGACCATATAAAAGGGAGATGTTCCCCTTGAGGAACATCATTCAGAAATAATAAAACACACGTGCACATTAATTGTTGAGCATTAACTCCAGCTTTAATTGCATTTCTTGAGAGCTAAGGCTCGGATTTCGAGGCTATCTCAAATAGCGGGATGATCACTTCTCTCCTAAGAGGAGCATGATCCCATCTACATTTCGCACTGTTTTTTACATCCGAACATGTTCTAACTTGATCGTCGGAGGCGGAACTCCCACCCACAGGAGTCTCCGTTGTTTTGCAGGTACAGGCATCCAGAGGCCAGTCTTGGTGTTGTAACTCTCCCGTAGGACACATAAAAAACCCCGAAACATTTGGCGTCGTCTGTGGGGAGAGTACTTCTAAGATGGCTTCACAAGACCCTGTACTGCCTCTTAATGAGAAACGGCTTATGGCCGACGTCCAGGTCTATATAGACCAGGATACAGATGACGACTATGAAGTCGATACACACACGATCCCTGACGGTTCCCTAAGAACTAGGCGCATCCGTCCCACCGAAAGGAGTGAACGGAATGACGAACAGGCGGGCCCTAGTGAACCATTCGTCCAGTCGACTAGTCAACCCCAGGTGGCCGAAGGCTCAATCCCTATCACCAGAAACGAGCTCATGACTATCATGACAAGTTTCAAAGGGGAGATTAAGGACCTGATTGATAAATGAACGGCTGACCAGGGAACAGTCGGCCAAGAAGCCCTCCCATTCTGGAAGGAATAAGCCAATCAAAGACTGAGAGACCACTCCTTACCCTAAACCAAGGGAGGGACAGAGGCCCTTGATAAATTTAGCCAAACTCCGGTTCCCTGAGCTAAGGAAGAGGAAGGTCATCCGGCATGTTCAACCGGATGGTTCAAAGAAAACTTATTCTGATGCCCGGATGTTACAGCAGAAGAATAACATGCAATTGTCAGAGTCGGCTTCAACATCGAACTTGCAAGACAACTTTCAAAATACCTCAATGAGGTATTCACAATCAAACCGAGAGAACCCGACAAGCGGCATGTCCTCCCACTCTAGTCCTCAAATGCTCCATGCGGCCCCGTATGCACCTCAACAGCCATACATACCGTATGGACAACCTCACATGCAGTCGACTTTGGGGGGCAGGCGGCACATAATGTCTAACGGTCTAACCCTTGGACTGGAAGCTCCGACTGCTAAGACTAGGGGAACAACCCTCTGCGTTCTCTAAGGAAATAACTGAGGCCGCAAAGCCGGCCAAGGTGAAAAATGTATTGGTAGGTACCTATGATGGCACCACCAATCCAAAAGATCACCTTATGACATACACCAACCTCATGTATCTACAAGGGTTGGATAATACCGCATGGTGTCGATGCTTCCCGGCCACATTGAAGGGCGTCGCCCAACAATGGTTCGGAAACCTACCAGCCGGATGCATGAATAATTTCAAGATTCTTGCATACTTGTTTGCGTCCAACTTCTCAATGAATATCCCTGCTAAGAAAATAAGTCTTGACTTGGGTGCAATTTAGCAGGGAAGGAAAAAAGGGTTATGGTCATACATCAGGTGGTTCAATCTAATGAGAATTCAGATTCAAGGACTGTCTGATGAAGTGGCCTATACAGACTTTTTCAAAGGTCTAAAAGACGGGTCGACCTTTAATTTCGACCTTGTTAGAAAGAGGGTTGCTACCCTCCAAGAAACACTGATGGAGGCGGACGCCTATATACAAGCGACCGAACTTTGCAACGTTAGTAAGCAGTCGGACTCAAAGAAGTCCGACAAAAGAGAGAGTCGGTCATCACAGACGGCTAAGAAAGAAGAAAAGAAAAGAAAAGAAGTCTGGGTGTCTGATACCTCTGAACAGCCGTCCAAGAAGAAAAAGAAAGAATTTGAATCATACACCCCCAAGTATGAGTTTAACAAGGATTATCACTCCATCCTCATGGAGATCAAAGACCGGGTGACCATTGAGAAGCCAGCTGCTATGAAAGGTTCCGCCAAAAATCGGAACAAAAATAAGTACTGTCATTTTCATGAGGACGTTGGCCATGACATGCACCAACAACTGCTATAGTCTCCTGGCTGACAAAGGGGTGCTCAAGTCCTACATTCTGAGGTCCAAGGTTACCCTGTAAACTAACCTTGGGCTGTCGTCCAAGTAAAAGTCTCAATCTGCTAATAGTTCTGATACTGATGAAGAACAGATCTATATAATAGCAGGTGGCTATGCTGGAGGCGGCCCTACCTTTTGGGGAACCAAAAATTACATCAGGCGGCTAGATGTTAGCTCAATTGATGAGGGGCAGGCGTCTAAAGACACTTGTCCTGAAGTTTTCATCTCTGAGGGAGACAGTGGCAATGTTAGGAGGTCGCATGATGACCCCATTGTCATCGAATAACCAAAAGGTGGGCCGAATCCTCATAGACATCAGCAGTTCCTCTGATCTCATCAGCCACAAGTGCTTGACCAAGCTCAAGTACAAGTCTGAGAGCATGCACAAGGTCTCTCATACTTAGTGGGATTTGGGGGCGGAGTTGTGCTTCCGGTAGATCGAATAGACTTACCCACTCGGCTGGGAGAAAAGGGAAAGGGACGCCACTTAGTTGTCCGGTTTTTAGTTGTTGAAGAGCTGATCGCCTATAACATGATTTTGGGTCGTCCCACCCTAAATGAGTCCAAAGCTGTTATCATTCCTTCCCTTATGCTTCTCAAGTTTGAAAAGGATGATGGAACAGTCGGCTCCCTACGAAGAGACCAAAAGACGGCTAGAGAGTGCTACCTCTCTAAAGTTAAACCCAATGTGGT